AAACGTCAAGAATTTGTAACCTTTGTCCAATTTCGATCTTTTCACAGCTCCCTGAAAACTATCAACAAAACGGATAACATCTGCTATTCTTAATTTTGTCAGATATATGAATGACATAGGCTACTGGCTGTTTACACCTGGCCACTTCATGCGTTTTCTGTGATCGGATAGCTATCCGATCATGAAAAGACCATGTGTAAATGCCCTCCGAAACGCATTCGAGACGGATTTGCATCCGATCGCTCAAACCACTTGAGGCGGTGGTCTGGGCCGCATTCCAGACGAAACTGAACAAGTGTAAATGCATCTGGTTGTTGAAACCACATTTTGTAAATTTTACTCCGCCCAAAAATGTTATAAATAAACGCGTGAGAGCGTGTTATATAGGCTATATGTCATGTTATAGTCAGATATGACGACGCTACTGCGACACGCATCACCTCAGATGAGCAGCTGAGCGTCTATTCATCAAGCCAACGCACCGCAATCTATCGCAAATCAAAGTGAAAGTAAGTCGCAGACGCTTAACACAACCATCTTCATTAAAAGAAAAGAAACAAAATGATCTTACCAGTTCTGTTAACGCTCTCTCTTATTGCCGTCTTTAATTTTGAAATTAGCTGATGATCAATAAAATGCTGCTCATATCTGTTGCTTTCGGTGACGTGCACTCCATTAAATCTGCATATTATAGCGCGGGATACCTTAGAACACCCTAGCAACCACCCAAAATACCTTAGAACACCCTAGCAACACCCTTGCAACTCCCCAAAATACCTTAGAACACCCTAGCAACACCCTAGCAACCACCCAAAATACCGTAGAACACCCTAGCAACCACCCAGAACACCCTAGCAACCACCCAAAATACCTTAGAACACCCTAGCAACCACACAAAATACCTTAGAATACCCTAGCAACACCATAGCAACCACCCAGAACACCCTAGCAACCACCCAAAACACCTTAGAACACCCTAGCAACCACACAAAATACCTTAGAACACCCTAGCAACCACCCAAAATACAAAAGAACACCCTAGCAACACCCTAGCAACACCCCAAAATACCTTAGAACACCCTAGCAACCACCTAAAATACCCTAGAACACCCTAGCAACCACCTAGAACACCCTAGCAAACACCCAAAATACCTTAGAACACCCTAGCAACACCCTAGCAACCACCCAAAATACTTTAGCAACCTCTTAGCAACCACCCAGAACACCCTAGCAGCCAACCAAAATACCGTAGCAACCCCCTAGCAACCATCCTTAACACCCCAGCAACCACCCAAAATACCTTAGAACACCCTAGCAACCACCCAGAACACCATAGCAACCACCCAAAACACCTTAGAACACCCTAGCAACCACCTAGCAACCACACAAAATACCTTAGAACACCCTAGCAACCACACAAAATACCTTAGAACACCCTAGCAACCACCCAAAATACATAACACCCTACCAACACCCTAGCAACTCCCCAAAATACCTTAGAACACCCTAGCAACACCATAGCAACCACCCAAAATACCTTAGAACACCCTAGCAACCACCCAGAACACCCTAGCAACCACCCAAAATACCTTAGCAACCCCTTAGCAACCATCCTTAACACCCTAGCAACCACCCAAAATACCTTAGCAACCCCCTAGCAACCATCCTTAACACCCTAGCAACCACCCAGAACACCCTAGCAACCCCCTAGCAACCATCCTTAACACCCTAGCAACCAACCAAAATACCTTAGCAACCCCCTAGCAACCATCCTTAACACCCTAGCAACCACCCAGAACACCCTAGCAACCACCTAGCAACCACCCACAACACCTTAGCAACCCACTAGAAACACCCTAGCAACATTTAATTACTTGAAACTATACTTTAACCTTTAAACTACTTTTAACTTTAAACTATTTAAAACTTTAAACTACTTTAAAATTCAAACTTATTTAAACTTTAAACTACTTTAACTTTCAAACTAATTTAAACTTCAAACTACTTTAAAATTCAAACTAATTTAAACTTTAAACTAATTTAAACTTTAAACTACTTTAAACTTTAAACTAAGTTAAACTTTAAACTACTTTAAACTATAAACTACTTTAAACTACTTTAAACTACTTTAAACTTTAAACTAAGTTAAACTATAAACTACTTCAAACTAATTTAAACTTTAAACTAATTTAAACTTCAAACTACTTTAAACTTCTTCAAACTTTGCGGTCCAAACTTTCACAAGCCAACTTAAAGTTTGTCTCGACGAATATATAATCCGTTTTGCAAAAACACATTTATGTGACCAGGTGTAAATGGAATCGTTTTGATAAATCAGATAGCTATCCGATCTGAGAAAGCGCATGAACTGGCCAGGTAAACAGCCCCCAGTAAAAGAAAACAAGCTGTTCACAGTCCATTTTGTGAATGAATGGCGATCATTCAAGTGTCGTGTTGCTGTTGTTTCAGTCAGTGGTTAGATCAGCATATAGCAGCCTATTTAATCGGGACAATGGAGGTCCCGTACAGGACAAATAAATTAGGCCCAAAATACGGGACGTCCCGGCTCATTTGAACGTTATGCCTGCACACATATAAACGCAAGTACAATTAACTCTTAATGCGCATGTGCACGCCATCAGCGTTCTCACAGGTTCGCGTTTTTAAAGTTTGCGTAGAGAGAACTTAAAGTCCCTGTAAAGGCAAAAAAAAAAAAAAAAAAAAACTTTAAACACATTTAGAAATGTATTGGTAAAACATATTACAAAAACTGTGAAGTACTGAATTGTGAAGTTAGACCGTTAAACAGTTGAATGAATGGCCACCATTCATTCCACCGCCACCATTGCTATTTTCCAGATTTTTTGATAGGGGGTTCAGCCATAGACAGTATAAGAAATGGACAGAGCCATCTCATTGGAACTCAGTTGAGACAGTTGAAGCCCATTTTTAGCGATTTCTGAGCACTTCCGTTCCTTACGCGCAGACTCAAACCGACTCAAACTAAGCTTGATGACGTGAGCAACCTGTCTGACAGACGTGAATCTTCTAGTAGCTGTGCCTGAAAATTGCCAACGTTAATCTTGCAGAGACGGGGAACTTGAGGAAAGAGTTTTTTGGCGTGAGTGAGCAGGAGTAAGTATTCCGTTGCTTTTATGGACTCATTATCTATGGGCTTCTCCCTTGACGGGACGTCCCCCCGATTGCCTGCGAGCTTCTCCTCCTGTCTGTACGGTAATTTCTGTACAGCGCGACAGAGAGTCGAGTGGTTATGACGCAATCGTTAGCCTATTTTTACTAAAACTGTTTCTACGGGGCCATAATGTGACATAGAAGGTAATGGAGCACTTTATACATTGTCGTTTTTTTTAGAAATAAATAATGGACAAATGGAGTCTTTAAACGCCTCAGATGTAAAGTTATTCGCTGTCAAAGTGACGCCAAAATGAATGGGAGTCAATGGAAATGCTAACGCAAGTGAAGTTCTGCTACAACATGGCGGCACCCGGCCGGCTTCAACTTCCGGTCGATGGATTACCCCCTTGGGTTCAGCGAAAATTCGGCAGCTGGCAGCAGGAAGTAGCCGACCGTACCTGCCAATAAAACCGGACGTCAGCGGTCACAAATAACCGGAAGTCGGAGGTAGATGACAGCCGCAATAGAGCTGGTAAGTCCCGCCCCTTCCGCTTACCCCGCTGGACCTCTAGGTTGAAAAATCGTCAATGCAAGTGAATGAGAGAAAATAATTATTTTCTAATCCCGTTTGAATTTTGCAATGAATGTGAACATATGTTGTCTGTGAATTTTTTATATAATATTTCATGTAAAGAATGCTACAATTTAGCGGGTAGAATTTTCATATGGTTAGACTTTGTGTGAGAGCACTTTGTGGACTACAACTCTTCGCTGCTTTCGACGCGTTTGATATACGTCACCACCACTAGCACACGGATCCCGCTAAACATGCCTTTGTTTGAATGGTGACATTTGGGTACAAAACACACAGGCATCTCGATCTAATTCCTTAGATTATCGCACCGTCATTTGTGGAGGGAAAATGTGTTATGCAGTGACGTCACATATGCGACGTGTAGTCTTTCTCGTTATGTCTTTTCCACAACTGCTAGCCAAAGAATCATACAATATACTGTCAAACTCGTTACATGAGAAATTATATAAAAAATTCACAGACAACATATGTTCACATTCATGGCACAATTCAAACGGGATCAGAAAATAATTATTTTCTCTCATTCACTTGCATTTGCACTTGCACGCTTTTTCAACCTAGAGGTCCATGTCGAGTTTTACGGATGGGCGGGACTTACCAGCTCTATTAGCCAGGCAAATAAGTTATTATATCAACTTATATATAAGTTGAATATACTAAAATATATTTATATACTGTTGAGCAGTGTATATATATATATATATATATATATATATTTATATACTGTTGAGCAGTATATATATATATATAATTTAAATAAAATACTTCTATTAGTAATTAGTAATTACTTTTATATTATTTGATTAAAAAAGGTTTATCAAATATAAATCAGGTAAAAAAGATCATAGACATAATACAATAAGCTACACTTGAAGTTATGAATTTGTATGTATAAATATAATTTATGAATGAGTGTACATGTTTGTTAAATAATTAAATTATACATACAGAAATAAATAATTTTCATAATTTGAACTTTCATAATTATGATCGTTGCGACGGAAGTGAATCAATTAAAACTATCTTTAGCTGGAAAATAACTTTATTCTAGAGCTGTCATAAAGCCAAAACAATCTGTTACTTTAATTTCCTATTATCACTGTAAAGCAGCTAAGCAGCTTGTGTATTCCTTTAATAAGGAATACACAAACACTAGGACGTCTTGTGTTAATCAGCAAAATATAAAACAACTTCACGCCGGTAAAGAAAAAAAAAAAAAAAGAAAGAAAAAAAGACATTTTAAGCAATCTTATTAAACTTTTCTCCTCACCTAAAACTGAACACTTGTTTGATGCTCCAAATTGCGAACGAGTTGTTCTTTTAACCCGGATCTTTTCCTTGTTATGATTCCTTAAAAGCGAATAGAAAAAAATCACAAGAGTTTAGCTGTGTGACCGAAACAATGCTGTTACGGAATCTCATAACGGTTCCTTAACTTCCTTCCCTTTCTTTAATGTCATTTGAATATTTTTTGCATGTACAAAGCAGATTCTACTGGCCATTTAACTCCACTTGTCAGAGAGCAGAAAGCCCAGTGATTGGTTTAAAGAACTGCCAATCAAAGCACTCTACATGACTCGTATGAATTCGCTAGTCTGCTCTCTGCAGTTTGTTGTGGACTGAAACCAAAACGCATGACTGGTATAGGTCACCACAGTTCGTACATGCTTGTTAACCTGAAATGGATATGGAAGAGAAGCCAAAATACGGCAAGTTTATTTCGGTTTTATATTTGCTGGTGTTTGTATTGCAAGTTTATGATTTGGTGTTATTATAAGAGTCCTCCTCAAATATTAACGCTACCAAACAGAAACTGAAATTCATTTTAATAACTTCGCTGCCGTTAATAGTAAGAACTGTTACCGGTTGTTTTGACTCTATATGCCGTGTTAAGGTGAAAAAACAGCTATGTTATGAGTGTTAAAGCTGTTGTGTTAGTAAGGCAACGCCTAAACCTCCGTTATTTAACGTTACTATGTCAGAGTTTGGGATTTGCTTAGCTACTTTACCATATATTTCCTTAACGTTACTCCTAACAGTCATTTCTGTAAACGTCGTGGCCTTTGTCACTAATTTTAGTAGCTTACTTATTTGTAGTTACTGTAAATGTGGTGGTTGACCAAATAAATGCTGTGCTTTCATCACACGTGACAGCATGACTGAAATGTTCATGTGTTCAGTTGTACTATAATAGTGTACATGTTTGTTTATATATTAATTTATTATTTGCAAATATATAAAAATTATTTTTTTTAGTTGTTGTTATTATTATAAGAACTAAAGCTGTGTGACTGGAAATAGAAGGTAGATGTGTTTATATTGTAAGATGAGATAACTGTGTTTCCAGATCATGTCAAAGCAAAAACAGTAAAGTTATGCCACAGGGTAAAACTACATACAGACATATGAAACTACACAGCTGTTGTGAGTATGAACATCTCCTTGTGGACACAACATGGAAACCATTGAAAGGGTCAATTGTGGTTGTTTTAATAGTGTGCATGTGGTTTTCTGTTGGAAACTCCTTACAACGTTGCTTTTACAAGAACATTGTTGCTCATTTATTAGGTTAAAAGTCAATATTTGGAACAATTGTGTTGAAAAAAAAACTTGCTTTAATATTCAGCCTTGGTTTTACTTGTATATGTCCTTGTAAAGTATCTGGTAACCAAAGTCATAGAGTCTGCTCTCATGAGTGGGAGTGCATGTACCGGTAATTAAAGGGCGGAATATAGGATGGCGCTTTTTAAAGGTATAAAATAAGGCCTTAATTTGAACTTTAAGCTGTACTTATGTGCTATTTCTGCTGCTGAGGGACTGAGTGCGACGGCAGCTGTTTCAAATTAGGGAAGGGATAACTCACATTCAGTGGAACCTCTCAAATAGGCTAGTTTGCGATCAGTGTTCGTCACCGAATTATATTTTTATATTGCCTAATTTGTATTGTATTTATTTATTTATAAAGCAACTTTCATGCTACAAAGTAACTCCAAATTGCTGTACAGTACAAATAATATAAACAATTTCAATGAGAATTGTATAGCAGACCAATTTCAATAGTTTAAAAGGCAAATACAAGCTAAATCTGTTTTTAAGGGACGCACATGCTTAAGCTAAAGCTCTTTTTTTTTTTTTATTATGAATTAAACCAATTGAGGATCTCTATATTGTGCATTTCTATTAGTTAAATCGATAATTTACCATGCAAAACAGTTTTGCCTGGTTCTGAAAAATATAAATGGCCATTGAAATAAAATATAAATGAACTTTCTACAATCAGGTCTTCATATCTTTTGCTGCAAGGCTTTACATACTTGTCTTCTATACTTGCTAACTCGTGTTATAGCTCTTATAGTTAGACAGACTTCTTGTGATCACATCCTGAACTGCTGATAGCAGCTTTCCTTCCATTAGTCTTTTAGATTAGTGGAAGTGCTATTGATTTGATTTATTACTTTTCTCATTTATGAACTGCATATATTCATGAGCAATGACTATTTTGAACGTTTCTGGTCATTTGGACATGTTTCAACATTTGCAAGAAAACAAAAATAATTGGCAAAATCTTTGACTTCTTATTTTTCCTGCCATCTCATGTTTTGTCCATTTAGGGGCTCCACAGAGAAGTGATTACAATTACAGAAACATCATTACAGCTTAATGCTGCAGTTCGCAGGTTTTCCTCTCTGTCGCCATCTCTGTTCGAAATCTGCAATTGCAGTTATTCACGGAATTATCAACTTTACGTGAGTTGTACTTCGGCATGGCACAGCGCGGATGAACACAATGTTTGAGGAGAGTGTGCAGCTGTCAGTCACCGCGCCGGTGGCGATACTGGCATTCAGAATCACAGATTATTCTTTTTGGAAGTATGACCAACATAAGAATTTTCACCGGAAAATGCCATCTGAACAAGTAACATCCACTTTTCTTCTGGTTCTGACATTGCAGTATTCGCGCTGATTAAATCTAACAATCGCTTATGATATCACGCAAAACCGTGCAAATTATACTTTGTTCTCAAATTGTTAATGTTAACACCGTCAGCATTGTGTGATGTAATGTCCTTCCAATATGTATCCTTGTTTTCGCATGGGTCCGGTTGCAGTCTCTTTTTTTTTTGTAGCCACTCCGAAGTCTGAACGAAGTCTTTTGCATTTTACAACGTGTGAATCTTCTCCAGTTGTCACTGGTGATTGTCGTTTGAACCTTTCTGGATCCGCCATCAAATTGATCAGTTTAATTATATCAAGTGCAGTGAGAGAAGGCTATAAATCTCCACCTACAGCATCCTCACACGCAATATAGCCTACTAGCCGCGACGGAAAGACATGCTCGAATTTACCGTGGAAATCCACCAGTACCACTGGAATTAAAAACATTATTTCAAGCTTACCGCTTTGAATCGAGCAAGCAGATAGTTTTGAACACTGGCTGGTTATGTATTTTCTCAAATATGTATTTTGGATAATTTTTAACCCCAAAAAAGCTACGGACTGCAGCTTTAAGAAGGATGGCTGAGGACTTGAATAATGTATATAATTTTTTTTCTGATTGTAAAAATGCTTTAAATTATTTCACTTTTCTAACTTTTGTTAGTGTGTAATGTTGCTGTTTGAGCATAAACAACATCTGCAAATTTACTATGCTCAAAGTTCAAAGCAAATGGAGATATTTATACACTTCTTGAGTCTCTCCATCATTGTCGGACTCCGATTTGAACATAAAAGGCTAAAAGTTTTTGAAATTTTCAGTGCGTGTCTGTGTGAAGAGGTAATCGAAGCTCCGCCCTCTGTGCCGGGAGCAGCAGCTCATTTGCATTTAAAGGGACAGACAAAAAACTATGCGTTTTTGCTCACCCTCAAAAAAGTGACAACTTTAACATGCTATAGAAATAAATACATTTTAATAAATTAATATTATTATAAAAATAGAAATATCTGTGGGGTATTTTGAGCTAAAACTTCACACACTCTTGTGACATCAGAGATTTATTTAACATCTTGTGAAAAGGTGTATGTACCACCCCTTTAAACAGGGTTATTATAGTTAACAAAAAAAAAATACATGCAGTTACTGACAACAGTCAGTTTTTGATTGATATCAGTTTTCATTTCCCATTTTGTCTGAATCTAAGCAGAATTGAGTCAAAACGTTTGTCGCTTTAAAGAAATGACATTACCAGCTTTAATTACATTACATTAAATCAGCATGAGTGGAGATGCACATGAGCAGGTCCCAATAGATATTGTGAAACCAAGGGAAAGCTTTTCTTTTTTCACCTTTTGATGTACCACCTTTTTTGCATAAGTTACATCTAAAGCAAGGAGTTGTTCTTGTTCCTAAAATAAATAAGACATGTAGTATGAATTGCTGTGCTAAACAGCTAGTAACCAAGCTGCCCTGTTAAGTTAATTTAGCTCAAACAATGAGTCATCTGGAAGTATTTGGATATTTATACCACACTTAAAAATATCTGAGTATCTCATTGATTTCACACACTGATAAACCTCCACCGAAAGCATGACCTAAACCAGAAGTTCATATGTTTGTTCAAAAGATGCCACCCATGTTGGTAATGGTTCGAGAGATATTTGCACGATGAAGTTGCTTTGCAAAAGCATCTGCGAGACAAAATGAATCTAAACCGAGTCGGGTGTCATTGTCGTCACGCCCAGCTCTGATCCCTCCTGATGCTAGAGACCCAAAACTGCTCCGTTTAGTCCTTCAGAGACAAAAGAAAACTTAAAAACAATTCAGAAAGGACACCGAACCAAGTTTTAGAAAGATCAAATGAGAGAAATCCGATATTTTCTAGCCTGAAAAGGTGGTGTTTAGTTCAGCTTAAACCTGTTCAACCAGTTTTCAACAGCAGAAAGTTGTTTTCCCGCTTGAAATCAGGAAGTTAAAGTCAGATAGATGGCTGAAGGACTTTTCCCTTTACAGTGAGGAAGGAATATCAGATCATCAGTGCCACTGAACATCAAGATGTCTGCGGAGGAAGGTGCTTACAAAAAAAGCGGTAACGTCACTTGATGATATCTCCTCTAGTATGCAAGTTTTTTTATTGGTTTTGACATGTGGACAAACCCTTTGAAGCTCTCTTTGAGTAACTTACCACAAGTTGTCTTACATGAGTAATGGTAAAAATGGCAGTGTTTAGCTGAATCAAAAAGTTATGTGCAGTCAGCCTGCTTTTTATGTCCAGATGTTGGTTCAAATGGTTTCCAATAACGTGGGATTATTCAGTGACTCACTCTCGGAAAGAAAGGTACAAAAGCTGTCTCTTGGGAGGTACCCTTTCAAAAGGTACACCTTTTTACAATATTTACTCTTAAAGAATGCACATAAAGGTACATATTATTTCCTGAAGTGTATATTAGTC